ATTGACATATACTTTTTATTTCATATTCGGATTCTACTATCAAAACTGGGGTTATGAAAAATATGAAAAAACTTTCTGGCAAAAACTTTATTTTAAAAGTAGTGCAAAAGTTCAAAAACTTGAAAACAAGATGGCAGACCAACCGTGAGCTTTTAGTTTTTTTAGATTTTAGTCATCAAAACTTCACTTAAGAACAAAAATAAGATGATATTTGGAATAAGCGTCAAAAACTGCATCAGACGATGTATCTTTGAAAGCTCTTAGAGAAATGAAAAACTTTGTCAAAATTTGCTTGGAAGCTGAACATAAAAACTCGAAAAATGTTGAAATTTTTCATTTCTCTAAGAGCTTTCAAAGACACATCGTCTGATGCAGTTTTTGACGCTTATTCCAAATATCATCTTATTTTTGTTCTTAAGTGAAGTTTTGATGACTAAAATCTCAAAAAACTAAAAACTCGCGTTGATCTGCCATCTTGTTTTCAAGTTTTTGAACTTTTGCACTATTTTTAAAATTTTGCGCTCAGTTTGTGGAAAATTGAATTATCTGTCGCATGTGACCTTCGAATTGTCAGCGAAACCCTGTTTGGAGAGGCAAAAGTGGCATTTTCTCGAAAATTTTGACCCTTCAAAATCCCAGTTCTCCAAATAATGTGGATTTTAAACAGTCTCTTCCTACTTCAGAAAAGTTAGGAACGCTGTGATTTTGTTCACCTTTTATCGGGCTTCCGAATGCGATGTTGCTCGAACAAAACGGACAAAAAATGGCGGAGTTATAGTCAAAATATCAAAGATTGCTACTTTTCGCAAATCGACGATGGTGCTCATTTTGTAAATTCTATAACTCAGCCAGAATAAGCCAGAAAGTTTTTTCATATTTTTTACAACCCCAGTTTTCATAGTAGAATCTGAATATGAAATAAAAGGCATATGTCAATTTTTCACTCGTGACTTGATTTCTTGATGTGCTAGTGAACTGTCTCTTAAGTGAACAGCAAAAACTAAGGAAAACACAAGTGTTTTGCGATTTTCATTATCAAATTTGATGGAAAAAATGGATTTTCTCGACAATGGTAGATACAATATAAAAAGAATCTAATTTATACTTTTTCCCAACTCTGTGATACTTATAACCGAGTAAAACTAATTATTTTATTCTTTAACGAAAAAACTGTTTAGGCTTGCATGATGGACCATTGTGATTCAAGAGTTTTATCATGTTTAACGAGCTCATTGGTTATCTCAGCTCCGAATTATGTTAAATTTACCGCAAAGATTTTGATAGTATTATCTCAATTGGATTTTACTCTGTGAAAGTTAAAGCAATAATATTGCTAATTATACTTTATCAGAAATTGCGAAACATGTCACCACTAGTGAAAGAGTGGCACAATCAAGGTTGAGGAAACTGTCGTCTATGAGCATGCGAAAAATGAGCATAGACGAGTAGTGTTAGAAAGCATATACTCTTCATTTTAAAGCTATGTTTTAAAAGTCTAAAATTAAATTACCGAAAACGCTAAATTATAAATCTTAAATGAGAAGAAAAGGTAAAAAATTTCAGAGAGCGAAGACGGACTTTATGGTCTTATAGATAAATGAAACGTTTTCGCTTTATTTAAACCATCAAAGAACCAAAGCCCACTGTAAACAGTGACATTGTCAGAAATGTTAATACGACACTTTAAGACAGCACTTTTTGTTTGTTACAAATATTCACACATTTTTTACAAGTGTTTCAGACAATTTCTTCTTTACATTGATTTCCGCAATCTGCCAGTTATACTTTCTCTTGAACGTTTTAAGCAATCAATTAATTCTTTCTTGTATGATTCTTTTGGTATTACAAATATCAATAGAGTTGTCATTAATGGCAATGTCGATACAAAATAGCTTGTTAAATACAAGTACTTTTGCCATTGAAATGTAATACAGGCAAATGCAAATGATGATACAAGTCGTGGTAATTCAAGAAGAATTAATAATAAGGGACTTATGACAAATGAATTGTATCGACGAATTCCATCTTTTAGAATATGAAAATAACTTTTATTGTTATCAATTATTGATGATTTACGTCGTGCAAGAAGAATTAATACAATTAATGTTGTTATAAAATTAATCATAAATGGTACTAATAAATTAGTTATATTTATTATAGTTTCATATGTTTCGAGCCATACATACGGATATTTAATTACACACCACGAATAATCATTTATATGTGGATCATCAACCATATGACGGTAGAATGGTTCATGTAATGTACCTAGAATATTCATCAAAATAACAGTTATTATCATATATTTTGCAATTTGTTTACTTCTAACTTTATCAAAATGTACTCCTTTGATTACAATCATTGTTCATTCAACAGCTATACATGCCGTTAACCAATCAAATATGGATGGTAACATACTAAGTAAAAACTCAAGTAAAATACAACTTTTTAAAGCAAATAAACGACTTTCAACTATTGACATTCGTGTTAATAATAGATAAAAAAATCTTGATCCAAATGCCAATAATCCAAATTGACTTGTAAAACAAAGTGTTAATAGATAAAGACCACAGCCCATTTCATGTGTTTTTCTTTGACAAAATGTTATTATTGAAAACGTATTACCAATAAAACCAAAAATTATCATTAGAATTATTACAGAGAATGTAACTTTAGAGAACGATCAATAAGAACATCCCATAATAAATATAAAACAAATCAAAACATTATGTCGTAACATCATTTATAAATACCGTTTGATAATCAACGGTTGTTGATGAAGATTTTTACTCGTAAGAATAATTTGTCCAAGTAAAGCATCCATCGTCATTGAATATTTTGTTGTTGAAAATTGACACAATTCTCCATAATAGCATGGTGGACAAACACAAACAAATTTCATTTTTGTTTCATATTTGTGTACTGGTTGTACACATTCACCCCCATTTAGACAATAATTATGCCCTATACAGTTGCTTGCTTGATGATCAAATAAAAAACAATCTAAGAAACCTTCATTATCACATAAACATATATATTTTTCATCAAAAAAACATTTAGTACCTAAGATTAAACATGGACGATAATAAAATTTAATACGTTTTAAATAATTAAATGACATAATTGTACTATTTAATAATTCTCCAACATATGGACAACGATTTGATTCTAATATATTTGTTGTTGTTGATCGAACATTATATTTTGAAAAACTAACTAAATGGTAAGATGACCGTCGATGAGTATTAAAATATAATTGTACATAAACAAATGTTGGCAAATAAAGCTGATTTCTGTATACTGTTAAAATAGTTGTACCAAATTCAACATTAGAATAAATAAAACGATCATGAATAGATGCTAAACCAATTTGATCTGTTATATTAGCCAAATGAACAACAACAAGTGGAATTTTAATAATTGAATGATCATTAGTCCATAAATTGTTAATACCAATTTTTATCTGAGCTGCAGAGTATTGACAACGATTACCAAAAAATGATTCTGTGCATATACACATACATTATAGTGATTTAGTTGATAATGAAATAGCAGTGCCACCATTCAAACATTGAACATTCTGACATAAATCAATTTGTGCATAACATTCATTACCAAATCGACCAAGTGGACAAATACATAATGAATGATATGATAATGAATAGTGGAAACATGCTTTTACTGTTACTGTCGATGTATTACAGAATTCACCTGACCAACTTTGATTACATAAACAAAAATAATGTTGATGAAGATTGTTTGCATATGTCATACAGATACCATGTAAACCACATTCTAATGCACTTTTATCGTTACACTGTTCACTTTTTCTATTTAATATTAATTTAATAGTTAAACGTCGAACAGGTAAAAATGAAAATTGCAATGGATAATACCATGATGAATGAAATTGAATATTTTTTGAAGAAGAAACATCAAATATATCAATCACAACAGAATATTGTTCATAAAGTTTTGGAACAATTAAATAGAAAATATGTTTATAAATAATTGTTTGATTATACGGAACATGATAAATTTCATCAACAAAATCATGAAATAGATTAGTTTGTGACTGTAATCTTACAAGTAATCTGTATATTGTATTACGAGTAGAAATAAGACTCAATGGTGTTTCTATTTGAAGATAAATACTTAAACGGTTTGTTTGATATTGACATCGATCACCCGTATAACTTGGTGGACACAAACATTTACTATGACTAGTAGTTAATGATAGAAGGATACCACGATTACAATAATAGTATAATGAATGATCATCATTCTCTATAATTTCATTTGAACTTACTAATTGATTAGATAACGATTGTTGAACGTATTCATATTGTGCATTAGCTATTGGTGGATACTGACTATATTCTCCAATTGAAAATAATTTATATTGTAAACGTTGCGGTTTTATTAATTCACAGAACCATTCATCGTAACTATTTACATAACTGCTAGCACCACATTGATTTATACCGTCGCATCTTAAATCCTTAGATATCACTTTATTTTCGGTACCACATACCAACATTCCTATGTTATCATCTGATGAAGGTCGATTAGGACATATATCTTCATCATCATGGAATTGACAATCATAATAACCATCACATATGCGTTCAATATCTATACATTTGGAATCATTTAAGCAACGATATCGTCTTGTTAACTCATTCGGATATTCATTTGAACAATGTTTCAATTCATCTGCAGATCCCATACAATCGATATGTCTGTCATTCACTCTAGATTGCGATAAACATTCTATGTTGAAAGTTTTTGGAGATATACATGGAATTTCAACTGCTGTTTTACATCTAGATACTTTTTGTTCACAATCAAATTCATCGTGACCATCTAAACAATTCAAAACACCATCACATCGTGTATATTTTAAACTACAATATTGTTTCCATTCTTCACAATCCGATTCATCATCATTATTTAATTCGGGATGAGGATAATCATTGCAGATTTCTTGAAACAGAAAATAATCAACTGGAAGAGTGAAACCACGTAAAATTTGACAACCCAAATCATCTCCTGTTTTACATTTAAATGGCGCAATAACATCCGATTTATCCTTACAATGATTTTTATTATCAAACAGATGTTTTCGGTGTATGCAATTAGATTTAATCAGTGAACATTGAAAATGGTCTGTTAAATTCAACTGACATATATCAACGTCCTCATTCTCATCATTAATAAACGTACAATCGGTTATACCATCTTTCACACGATGGAATGAAATACAACGTTGAGAATGCTTACATTGAAATGATAGTGGATGTGTACATGATGAGTAATTATTTTCAATACTACAGTCTGAAAATGTTTTGTGTACACTCGTAAAAAAGGAATTATATGAGCGTGAACTTAACCAATGGAACTCAGTACGAATAGCGCAAGTAAGATTTTCTCGAAGAATAGTTACATTCAGAAAATTCAGATTAGGACATTTCGAGCGCTCATAACATATGTATGTTGGTAACTCATGAAATTGTGATGTATACATAAATTGCACATTTGGATACATAACAGGTTTTGGATGTAGTATAAAGCCTTGACACACGATTGAATGACATAAACCTGTCTTTTTCACCAATAAAGTTTTACACATTGCAGTTGTTAAATTAAGATACATATCACGAAAAGTCGTTGATGTACAACTACATATCCAGCAGTGACGACAAAGACTTTCTTCATTTTCGTACTTATCACTCGAATTAAAAAAACTTTTGGTATTTAAATATGTTCGACCACTATAGCAGCGATAAGTTGATTCCTCACCTATAGCTAAAGAGTTACATTGTCCATCTCCGCATGAGTATGTCATCCATGAACATTGATATTCTTCACAATCTAATGATGGATTTCTATAGCAAGCATATTCTGATTGATATTTATCGGCAAAACTATCCTGTTCGTCACTACGATCCATACAATCATACATTCGATCATAGGAAAAATCTTTTTCAATACACATACCGTTCTTACAGCGAAATTCTGTTTCTCGATCACATTCATTTAATTCTAACTGTCCACAATTCAGTTCATCGTCGCCATTTAAACAATCAATTAGACCATTACATATCTATCTCCAATCCAAACACATATATGACTCACATGATATCAAACCTCTATAACATGTTAACGATGGTGATATTTTATTACTATAAAGCTTTTTCTGTTGAAAACGTTGAATAATTATATCAGAAAATAATTTATCTGAATGCAATGTATACTGACAATATTTACCAAACCAATTTTTAGAGCAATTACAATACAGTTGTTCAGGATTTTGATATTTTTCATATGGATTGATTACATCCATTGGTGCATTCCAATAATATAAATTTGTGGATGTTATATTATGTTGATGTAATTCTTCAAATGTATAGTTTTGTCCATGACAAAAGTCATTTTCATTTGTTGCAACATAAGATGAAGATCGAATACAATAAGGTACAAGTGACCATGCATTAATTCGAAGTGCTCGCGCATCAGTCGCTACATAGATATCATGACGTAATACTGAATAGCTATATAAACAATCGTGATAAGGCAAGACTGACGATGATTGTTCATGGCCAGTATAATAGAAATTATGAAAACTATGGCGAAAACAGTAATCAATGTTCAATGAAAAGATTGTGGTTGCCAATAAGATTAAAAAGTCTAATAACATTCCCTGTGATTAAAATAAATATAAAATTTTGTTAAACTAGACTTGATTTTTCTTTGAGAATTGATTCCTCGCAATATTTAAACAGGGCTTACCAGTTATACCTTTGAAACCAAAATCTTCGGGTAGTTTTTCTTCTTTTAGAAAATAAATAAAACTTTTTCAATTCTAGTTATTACAGGTTTTTTTCGACATAATAACTTACACACATACGAATAAAATATATTCTGAATTTTACCATACAAGAAAAGGATTATTTACTTACCATAGTTCTTATTTCTGGACGCAACTTTACACTAGTACTGGTGTATACAAAGTCACGTCCGGAATATTTACCGTTTAAACGTACATATAAGGTAATGTAGATAAATGACATGTGTATGCTATTTATTACTATTGAACTTCTTGAGTAAGATCTAACTTTTGGTGAAGCAGCGCTGCAATGAGTAATTCGACCTTGACAGATGCCTTTTATCTGAAACGTAATGTACCAAATACATCATCAAGAGAAAAGAGCAAAAATGCGTCCAAGACAGTTTGGGGCCTCTGTTTCTTCTATCCATACTACAACAAGGAGCACTACCTCGAAAGACGATGTGCTTAATTACCATTCTGGTAGGGATATAAAAGGGACGAAGAGGCAGTTGATGAAAGTTTTGAAAATGATGCGAAATGAGCAAAGAATTCAGACAGAATATATTTTGAAAAGGATGGAAAGCGCAGAAAAGATGGAAGAAGGTACTTTAGCTCGAGTTTTTGGTCATTGGCACAGCCTTGTGCCAAAATTAACTGTAGTTCAGAAACTGACACCCGTTTGCAAAGAAATACCTCTGGGTCGCCGAATTTTATGCATGTTTTAAAAAACGGGATTTATTCTACCTATAATCTCAAGATGTCAATAACTTTTTTTCTACTAGATGGAAGCGGCTATGAATGCCAAATGTGTAATTAGTGTAGTTGAATTGATAAGAATACATGTTTTATAACACAATTTGAGGGGATTAGTTTGTGTCCAGACTGCTAACTATATACTGTGTTTTTCTACACCAAAACATATTTATAAAAACATTTTTTTTCAGAAAATAAATCGGTAAAAAACCGGTGAATTTCGACTGATTCAAAAATTTAATCGGATCGGTTACCCGTCAATCGACCGATCCGGTTACTACTCTGATGTAGCATAATCTTTGGTTACAGTTATTTCTTCGTATCTGTACCTTTCCGTTTGATTAATTAAAGCAACTGATCGAAATCAAGGGTGCTTATGAGATGGTACTTCTTTAACAATCCTGATCGAGATACCATTCACAGACGTAAGAATTTTTAGATTTAAAAAGCGGCTGTTAATCACTTTTATTATTCTCTACATAACATACACATACTACCATTCTCTCATTTTTCTGTAATTCCACGTTTTGCTCTCTTTGTCTTGTACAAAAGACACAGTTTATTATAATAAAATGCCACAATGTAAACGTCCTCTGAACATTAATAAAGTAACTAACTCGGATCAACTATGCTTTAATTAATGTATAATTTTTTGATAAGATCGCCAACCAGTGTATATAGTGTTGCCAATTTTTCATTGTCAATTGGACAAGTTAAATCGGGTGATGTTTGATCGTTGTATGAAACGCGAAGTGTAGAACCAAATGATGCACTTTTGATACAATGTGTGTCTAGATATTGATTTAGTGGCATGGTAAGTTCTATTTGATTGAATAACGTGTTCGTAAATTCTTGTGATAATTTGAATCCTTTTTCTGTTGGTTGATAATTATTGTTACCAAATGGACGAGAACGAGGGTATACGATCCATTTTGTTATACCGTCACGTTTTATTTTGATGTCGAAGCCAGCTTTATTTGTTGAACCACTATTCACAACTCGAATAACATTTGTATCACAATAAATGATTGAAATTAGAACAAATGCAATGAACGAGCTCAATACGAGATACTGTGACATGTTTGCAATATGATTAGAATGTGACGAGTACACTAGTAATTGAAAAAACTACGTATTTATTTGTCCTTCTTCTATCAAATGAATATATCCATCTAATCTCTCGATGTGAGAAAGAGCAGCTGGAGCGGAAAAGAAATGTACCCATTCTGCGTATATCTGAAAAGTTAAAGTCCAAACTGAATATTATACGAATACTTGAGATAACACTACAGCACCTCGAACACTTTTAAACAAGTTCTGAGAGAAAAATAATTAGAGATATCTTGTCGTTTTCTCTGATATCTAACGTTGAGCAAAAAAGAAGTCGAAATCTACACAACCAAAGAGTGAACTTGGTAAAATTTGATTGATCCCACTGCATTTCGTGTGATAAAAACGCATGTTTTTCTACGCAAGATCACAAAAAAAATTTCTCAGCTGTTTCAGAAGAAAGGCACAAGACTTTTTTCTTTCACGCGAGATGCCCTAAGTTTTTTAGCGAAGCCTTTCTATTAAGAGTTTTAAATAACTCTTTCCATATCAAAAAATTAGTCGTACACCCAAACAGATAAAAAAATTCATTCGATAGGTGCGACGAGGGATAATAAATTTCGGAATATCTCTGCCCGAGGGACCGAAATTTTTTTCGAGAAGACGCGATCGCATCGGAATTTCGATTCCTCGAAATGACCAGCCCATCCAAACTTAAGTTTCTAACCCTCTACAGTTCATTGAACCATAGAAACCGATCGGAATATTTGAGGGCCCGATGTCGGTCGCCCATACACCAATCGGTTTCGAGGCCTCGACCACTATTTCGATCTCAATAAACCCATCGCTATTTCCGAAAGCTCTGAGATTTGAATCTGGTTTGATCTGAAATTTTTTTAATCCTGAACTCGCTGATGTCTACCGCACTTGCTCATATAATAAGAGAAAAGAATGACAAAAAATAAATTATATTACAGAAAAACGTGTTACATCATGATATTTATCTTTGTACGGC